ACAGCAGTTGTACAAGGCCACCGTTCAACTGTGTGCTTCTCTGCTCCAGCGCTGTGGGAGCTTGGGGACAAACACTTATGTAACCTTGCATTAGCACGAAAATGCTTATTCTCATGGGAACGTATTCTGCATGTACTTGGTTGAAAGGCAGGACTTCGCCCTGTACAGGACACTTGTCCGTCTCATGATGCACACACACCCACTGAGGGCCAATGACCCCAACCAGCATGCCTCTGGAAAACAGGCAAACTGCAGCACCTGGAAAATACCCCTGCAAACACAGCGGAGAACATGGAAACTCCACACAGGAGCTCCAGACCCTAGCTAGAGCTGTGAGGTAGCAGCCCTCTGTGTCACACACCCCTCGCTGCCAACAACCAGGAAGAAAGAAATGCAACTCACTTCAAGGAGGAAGTTCATGAAAAAACAGTGAGCTTTCATTTTGTCCTCCAGCTGGTGGAGAAGGATCAAGGATGTGAGACTGAACCCACTCGTCTCTGCAGCAGAAAAAGAAACATTTCAAAAAGCATGTTAAGGTGTGGAAAAACCTCGAAGTTAAAACCCCCAACACCTGGAAAACCAGAAGGTGAGGGTCTTATCCAGCAGATGCTCAACATCAATGTTTACCTTTCAGTAATCATCGTGGAAATACTTCATATTCATAGAGTTCTAAATCAAGTGGCAGAAAAAAAGGCAAATACTTTATTGCAAAACCTACTTGCCCTCACATGATCATTAGAGAAGAATGCTCTACATTTTCAGTACACCTCGCTTCCATCTACGTTTTGCAAATCTTCTACAAAGCGGATACTAAAATTAAATTGCATTTGGCGAGTTACAAACCAACAGTAATGGCTGTACATGTTGAATTCATATTACAGACACAACACACACATAATTCTTCAAAATGCTGGGCATAAGTAGCAGCATCTCCATGTGTCAGCATGGGACTGCATAGCCAGAGTGTGCTATCTGCTCCTGTTGGGCTTGGTCTCAGCCTTGTGGCCCAAGACCAGAATCCTTAATGAAGCCCTTGTTGTCTCTGTAGAGCAAACTCACCGTCAGGCACAGACTCTGCCCATCGTGGGTCCATCGCAGGGTAATCATCAATAAGGTCGAGGTCAATCTGGGTCACTACCTGGTCCAGCTCAGTGTTCGAGTCTGGATCACCATCGGGAGGAAAGATTTCATCCACCATGTTCTGCGCCTGCATCAGGTCCTTCCTGTTGAGGTAAAGCGCAGCACGTCACACAGAACGAGGACCAGCTCACAACCAGGCAAGCCTTGCCATTTGTGAGGATTTATTTTTTAATGTTTTTAAAGTACAAATTCATCATTTATGTGGTCACTGACTCTGAATGATCAAGACCCGATTCACGTTTTAAAAAAACAAGCGAATGAACGAGGGTCATGTTCTTGGATGGAAGAGGCACTAGGGTTTCCCTCCTGATTGCAGCTGCCAGTACAACACTGATCACCCTGCTCACCAGTGGATACTGTCACCTGATGAGCTTCACACTGACTGTCAATGAGCCCTTCTCCTGACAGCCCTGTTCTTAGCTAGATGTTTTTTTTTGCTGGACTCATCGAGCAAACAGCTTCAGCTGCAAATCCAACCCCCAGAAAGCTGCTTCTTCCTGGTATTGGCCGTGTGTTCGTTTTGGAAGGTACGGGTCACAGGGCAGGGCTACGCCCATCGAAGAGACCACGCACGGGGACAACTCGCAAGCAGTCAGCCAACTCGACATGTCTTTCGCGGGAAGACGGGAAGAAACTGGGGTACCTGGTGAAGACCTGCACAACCACAGGGAAAACGCACAAATACCACAAAGAGGGCTCCCCAGTTCGGGGCCCGTGGCCCAAGGGCTGTGAGGGAGCAGACCTCAGTGCCAGGCCACCACACTGCCCCAGCTGCAATTCCAAAACACTTCCAAGCAAAGGACGCCCTACCATGTGCCTGGCTCTGAAGCTTGCCACATAGTGCTCTATCGCTCATTCCCTTAGGTCTTGTAGACAACTACTCCGCTTAGCTGCAGAGGGGAGCATCATACTGCTCTCTTACGATCGGCTGACTGCATTGATTTCATGCAACTTGCAACTAGAGTGGTTGCCAATAAGGCTCTATAAAAAATGAATTCATCATTAGAAAGTAATTTCTTTAAGTGAAAGCAATCAAGGGCTTATTTAATGAGCAACTCGAGCAAGGAGGGGAGGATAAATGATTGAAATGCATGGAAAAGAGCAAGGTGTAGATTTTCAGCAGCGCTGAAAGTTTGCAGTTGGCTTCAGCACCCAGCAAGCGCTATAATTAGCTGACATTCCACACAGCGATTGATGTGTGTTTGAGGGTGGGGGTAGGGCAGCAGTGTCTAGTGTCTGGGTGCATATCGGCGTCTATGACGGCTGATGTGGGCTACAGCCATCCACCACCCTTCAAGAAACCGGCTCTCCAGATGCAAACACTCTCACAGGCTACACAACAGGACCCGTGAGTCAATTTATCTCCCTGCTGAACACCCCTGACTCTGAATTACCAAGACCTGATCCATGTGATCAGGATCCTCCAAGGCACTAACAAAGTCAACACAGCGGACCAGAGGACTCAAGTGGAAATTACCCGGAGAGAGCAGGAGAACAGGAGGCCCTTCTTCACACAAAGGGTGGTGGGGGTGTGGAACAAGCCGCCCAGCCATGCTGTAAAAGCTGACACTCTGGTTTCTTCCTAAAACCAACTGCGAGAGACCCTCAGATCTATTAGTCTCTAGTGGCTGAAGGAGCTGGATAACCTTACTGATGTTCTACCAGGACCAGGCTCCACTAAGAGGGCCGCTGTGTTTGAGGAAAGAAAAGGGAAAAGCTCATGAACACTAAATGGGACAGCACTCAGCTAACTCCCTGGACAGGTACAAACAGCGACCACTGGCCCGTCCTGTCCTCCTGTCTCCCTGATGGCTGCAGCCCCTTGCCTCACTCCACACATAGGGGCTGCAGCTCCCTCACTTTACTAGAGGTGCTTGTGGACAAGCAAAAGCTAAGTGACAGGGACAGAGTTCACTTCAGTTCACTTCAGGTGTAGGGAAGAGTGCAACGTGCACAAGCGTCTGCTGTAAGCTTACCGGCAGAAATGCAGAAAAGCCGTTTTCAGAAGCTTGGTTTTGTCTTCCTGTGCTATTGTCTCCATCTTGGACGAGCCCTCTGTGGTCGAAGCCTTAACAAAACAAGGGGGAATCCATTTTTACTGATCACATACCGCATCATATTTCGATGATTTC